CATCGCACATGTTTGTTATCCTACTTTTATTCTCAATATTATTGTTAGGTGTGATATTTTGTCATCCGTTTTGTCAATGTTTTTGTTATCTGTTTTATCATTTGATGTTTCGCCATCTTTGACATGTTACCTTGTTATTATTTAGTCGATGTTTGACCATCTCATTTGTTTGTTGTTTTATTTGATGTTTTGCCATCTTGCCTGTTTTTGTTGTCTTAATTAAAAAAACACAAACCAACCAAAATACATAAGCCGAATTACGGCTACTCTGATTCCTTAAAAGGGATACGTAGGCATTGGGGTAGGGCCCGATCGAGCATATCTTTTTATTTTCCCTACATTGTTTTTTTCTTTCGCATGCATTCCCTTTTCAGTTTTAAGCCATAAACATAGGACTTGACCACACCCATTAGATTAGACAACAAGAGTGGATACCGTAGAGTACTACGGGCGTGTGGGGTGCTAACACCTTCCCCTCACATAACAGACTCCCTTACCTGATCTCTTGTTTGAAAGACCATGATTTCTCCCTTTTCAGGTTTTCTCGATGTTTACCTTTCCCTCTCGGTGGGATAAAAGACGTTCGGTGGCGACTTCATTGAGGTTTCATTGCATCTAGATGACAGGTTCTGGCTGTGTTGTTTCAGTCGGGTTCTCCGAGGGGGAGACCTTGACCGCTTCTTCTCCCAGGCCCTTATCCTTCGGTTCTGTTGCATGATAAGGGTGTTGGTCTGGTTGATAGCAGCAAGCAATGTTGCAATGGTCGGGTCTGCGCTGAGAGTGATGGGAACTGGTTGCAGGATCTCTGGAAGTTCCTCGATGGGGTTCTTGGGATGTCCCTTGTCCAAGAATTGGTTGTCGCCATGTCGGGCGTCAGTTGAATCTGGAGACGCAATCTGGCCGTCTAAGAAACCTAGGTTGTCCTCTAGGTGAGGATGTTCCTGGCTTCCGTCGATTTTGTATGCAGGGGAAAGAATAGCCTTTTCGAGAAGGTGGAGATCATCATGATATGCAATGATTTGTGAAAGGAATCTTGAAAATTTGCTTTGATCTTTGAGTTTCGAGGAAAGAAAGATGGGGAGAGCAGTTTCTCACAGACGGCGCCACTAATCTTACCGGTTGATCAGAACCTGCAAGGTGGTCGGGTGATGATTTGCGGTCGGACTGTGATGTCGAGGAGGAAAAAACGGGGTTGTACCTGCAAGGCACTCCGAAGATCAAGTAAGAGTGGGACTAATGAGATACAAGCAAAGTGTTAAGGTATTGGTGGTGAATAGTGAATATTCGATACCTGATCCTCACATGTGTGAGGGTTTATATAATGCCCTTGACGCATGGCCATTGGTTCTTGTTTTTGGACTTGAATATGCGGGTCCGCAAAAATAGGTAACTGTCAGGACTTGGTCAAATCGAGCAGATGCGCCCGTAACTAGCCGTTAGTTCCAAGGAGGAGGTAAGTTACGGGCAGCGGTCTGGTCGGTTCCTGGTTGACTGTACAACTTGAGGTCGGACAGACTGAGAGATGCTCGCCGATCATCTTATGTCAGTGTCGGTTTGGGAGGGAAAAGGGTCGATATTTCCCGATGGAGAGCGAGGGAGGTTCGGGCCATAGACGTATGGACCGTACCGAGAGAAAAAGCTATGGGCCCATTCTAGCTGTCGAGCAAGTCCATAACAATACACGAAGTATATTAAAATACAAAATAAAAATCCTAAAAAATAGTCAGAGGTCAAACATGCGTCAACAAGTGTTGACAAAAAACTTCTGAATTTTTTAAAGTCAAACTATTTTTAAAATTTAAAGAAATAAGAAAAATAAACCAAAATTTATGAAAAATAGTAAAATCAGAAATAAAAATAAAATTAGGTCACTAATATTTGTCAAGAGGCCATTGGATCCTTCCATAATTATTTCAGAATTTAAAAATCAAGAAAAATATTTTTAAACAATTAAAACAAGTTAAATAAAGTGAAAAATCATTAAAAAAAATATCAAATCACAAAATAAAATTGTGAAAAAAAGTAAAAATCATAATGAGAAAAATCAAAAGTATTTTTGAGATTTTTTTTAGAATTTTGGAAGTTGAAATGAATTTTTTATGAATTTTTGAAGGTTAAAACAATTAAATCAAAAATTAAAAAATAAAAATAATGTCAAAATAATGTGGACCATCTGATCATAGTCAAAAACGTGTTAGTAAACAGATTCAAAGGACCTGACGCGTTGTGTTTGATATGGACCTTAGTGAGAAACACACACAATCAATTAAAACCAGGCCATTGAAATTAAAACAAATGTCATGCCATCATTGGTTACAGAACGACACGTAGGTCGTCTTCAACTTCTAGACCCCTACGCATTGGCTTTTTGTGAGTTTCTTCAAATGGAAAAAATCAGAAACTCATAGTGGTATCATTGGATTCGTCTCTTCAAGACGATCCTAACCCTACCCTTGCGAAAAGTTTCTTTATACCACAACTCAGTCGTGAGAAAAATCAGAAGAAAAAAGTTGGAAAGGGATTTGAAAATTCACGAGCAAGACTCACTTTCAGTTAAAAACTAATGATGCAATCAGTATCAGAGGATGAGAGCTACATTGTAGCAACAAGTTTGGAGAGAATTGATGGAGTAATCTACCTGTTGAAATTCAAGTTCAAAGCTATGAAACTTGACTTGGCTAACACGATTCAGGGCACCTCAAGGTTTGGTTCTTCTTCTGTTAGCTTTAGTGAAGTTCAAGGATGAAGAATCAGCAAAGAAATTAGATCAAAGATGCTTTAGAATTGAATTCGAAGTTGCAGAATTATGAGTTATGGAGGGAGTTCAACATAGGTTCTTTGGCTCTCTAAAGCTTGTCAAATGAGTGGGATAACATCCTCTATTTATAGAGAAGTGAATGGAATCGAGAGGAGGGGTGGATGATGTAATTTCAGCTGAAATCGTGCACACATGTGATCATGAAGAAAGTGTGACCACATGTGCATCAAAACTCATCCAAATGATATGTTTTCACACTCTAAATGATTCAAACATCTTTGTTAATCATGTTTAAGTGGAAAATGCATGGTAATTTGGTGATTAGAAGCCATATTATGGACATTGCAAACTGACTGCAAGTGATTTTTTCAGTTTCAAAGCATCAACTTTACAACCATGGTGCAAACAGTTCAGTGACCTTTATGGTATAATCTTGGATTCTTTAGAAAGCTGAATAATCAAGCTTGACAGAATACTTCAAAAGTTTCCATTTGGTGATCTGAGTTGAAAGTTAGGATCAATTGAAATTGAAAAAAACACATGGATTTGTGGACTTAGAAATATTTCTAAGTTATGAGCTCAAAAGTGACCTATAATCTCTTGCCTTCATACATCGCCTCCCACTCCAAATTAGGTTTTGGTCAATGAAGATGGTATGAAGTAGACTTACTAAAGAGCATTGTGAAACTTGAATCATTCTAAAACTCTAAAAAATAAGAGAGTTATGACCTTGTGAAGTTGATGAAAATCCATGAAATGACCTATAATCTTTTTAGCTCTTAAGGCATCTTCTAACCATTTTAAAGCTTTACACATAAAAGAAAAGGTGAAGTTCACATCCTAATTATTATTGTGGAAAAATAATGAAATCAAGAAAATAAAAATTGACCAAGTTATGATCATTTGAAGTCAAGCCCTAAAATTCAAAGGCCTTTCAAGGAGACTTGTAATCTTTCTCAACTTTTAGTGACCTTCCATTCAAATTTAGTCTTATACTTATGAAGAGAGCTTGTTAAGGATCCTTTAAAGAGAATCATGATTTTGTAACCAATCAAAAATCTCAAACACTGAGCAAGATATGGTCCTTAGAAGTCAACAAACCCTAGCTCAGAGAGTGTCAAAATGACTTGAAACCCCTTTCAACTTTTGATGATTTTTCTTGCACAATTGGATCTTGTCATGTGAAGAGAGGTTGTTGTAGATGATGATAAGAATCCATAGAAAAAATAACCAACTCAAAATTTTGAAAATTGAGAGAGTTATGCACTTGTTGATCACTGAATCTAATATTTGCTCAATTAGGTCAAACTAGTTGAATCAACCTTGAATCTTTTTGAACTTTCTTGACAAAATAAGCATGATGAATCATAAGAGGCCTTGAAATGATATTGTATTGAAGCATACTCAAAGATGGAGCTTAAGTCTCAATGAAGCTTATTGAAGAAGGCATGAAAATAAACACATGAATCTATTAATCTTCTTGATGACTTCCACCACCAAATTTGAGGAGATCTTGACTTAAATAAAGTGAGAGGGCTCCTTGAACCACAAATCTTTGATGCCATAGACATGACCTTGAAGGTTGAGCTCTTGCAATCCATTAGGGAAACATTTGATTGAGAATCACCCCACAAACCCTAGATTAGGTAGTGAGATGAATGCAATTGTGATCACCTATAATATGAGCATTCAAAGGAACATATATACACCTATTAATGTTAGTTAAAAGAACACATATACAAGATACACAATTCAAGGTGCTTGGTAATCTCTCAAGAGAAAACTTAAAGATAGGATAAAGAGAGAAACAACCCTAATGTGTGTGTCTTGATGCATTGTGACATTGAGATGATGAGAAATCTTAGGGGCAAAAATTGGAGTATAACATAACTGTGCACACAATCCACTACACTTTTTGCGTCCATCTCGAAATCCATATTATCATAACCCAAACTATGCACTCATTTTATAGCTGCCATCAAACATAAAGCCTCCCCCACCACTACTTATGTAATTTGAGAGAACCATTATGTACGGGCTACAATAAATGCACCTAAATCGTCTCTTATGCAGGCACCTATACAAATCTTGTTGTTGGAGAAAGAAGCATCTATGTTAAATTTAAAGCGGCCCGTCAGTGGTTTTCTCCACATAGTACCAGACACTGGTAGAGACTGAGAAGTATTGATGTCCTTCAGTTGATTGACATTTTTCCAACCACTAAGAAGAAGCGAAGCGCAGTTCAAAATCTTGTTATTCCTACTTTTCCATAAACTCCACAAAGTTGTAGCGAAACAACCCGGTGATCGTGATTAGCAACCTGTAAAAACGAAAAAACAACAACAATCAAATAAACATGAATATTCTGCAATTGCTGTAACTTCAACCATATACCAACTTTCTCCCAACAATCTTTACTTTTTGAACACTGTAAGAATATGTGTCAATTCTTCATCCCAATAGATCGCACAGTCAGTAGGACAATCCACACCTTTATTTTTAAGGCACACTCTAGTTAATATACAATTCCGACACAACCTCCACATAAAAATTTTAACTTTTGGCAGTGTTTTTAACTTCCAAATTAAGTCATAATTCTTATTTACTTTGAGGTGTGAGGTATCAATAGCTTCGTCAATGCAGAAACGGTATGTGTTGCACACTGTATAACTACAGTTTCTATCAAACTATAAAACAATTTTGTCATCCTTAACCGCCTCGAAAAGCGGAGTATTAAGGATTTTATCCGATACTTCTTCACCTATTAATGATACAATCAGATTAGAATTCCATTGCTTCCCATTTGGATTCATCAAATCTGCCACTTTCAAATTAGACAAGCAGAAAAATTCGGCCATGGATTCCTCAATGACGAATTGTCATGCAACCAGCTTTGATTTCATACCGAAATATTCTCACCCGAGCCTATACTCCATTTGGAACCACCACGAACAACAAACTTTGAGTTCCAGATACTTCTCCACACATAGCTAGGATTGTGTCTGATACCCGAATCAAGAAAGTCATTATTGGCAAAATACCTGATTTTGTAGAGTCTGGTGACAAGTGTGTTCGGTTTAGTCATAAGGTTTGACGCTTGTTTGCCCAACATAGAATAGTTGAAAGCACTGAGACTTTTAAACCCCATACCTCCAATTTTTTTTACTATAGATAAACGATCCCAAGAGAGACAATCAAACCTTTTAAGTTGTCTCGACAATGCCCCCACCAGAATGAATTCATCATTTTTTCGATTTCATCACTAAGCGAGGAGGGTAGTAAGAATATACTCATAATGTAAGAAGGGATGGTTTGAAATACCGATTTGATAAGGATTTCTCTACCCGCTTGAGATATGCTTTTGCTGCTCCAGGAGTTAATTTTCTTCCAAACTCTGTCTTTTATATACTTGAATGTTGCTTTTCTAATTCTTCTTATCATGAACGGAACACCGAGGTATTTACCCGTCCCTAAAACTTGTTGATCCCGAGGATATCGGCTAAAGAATTCTTATTTTCCGGAGTAACATTCCTACTACAGAAGAACTCAGACTTTTGCAAATTGATAGCTTGATCGGAAGCTTCTTCATAGGTGGATAGGATATTCTTCATCTCAGTAGCTTCGTTGGAATTAACTTTGAAAAATAGAAAACAGTCATCAGCAAAGAGTAAATGTGATATTATAGGGGAATTCTTACAAATCTTTACTCCATGAACATCTCCTCTGGCTTCCGACTTTTTTATGAGAGCTGACAGACCTTCTGAACAAAGTATAAGACTTTCTTAAGACGATTTGTCAGAACTTTTGCGATCACCTTATAAAGCACGTTATATAACGCAATAGGTCTCCAATCTTAGAGGTTTGAACTTCACCTTTGGGAATAAGTGTGATGTTCGTGATCTAACCTGATCAGACTTGGACCATCACGGCTGGCTCCGAGCTGAAGTTTTGAACGAGGTGGGGGGGGTACCTGCAAGGCACTTCGATGCTGAAGTAAGTAAGAGTACGAGCAGACAATAGTATGAGTGTGGGTATGAGAATGAATACCTGACCCTCTGGGAACAGAGGGTATTTATAGCCCCCAGCGCTGGGCCAAGGTTCCTTCATTGGGCCGGGCAGGTTTGGCCCAATGGAGGAACTGCCAGGTTCTACGTGCGTAGTGGGGACCCGCACGTGGTTCCCTTCCTGGATGTTCTGCGTGAAGTACGGACGGACGAGGACGCGGTCTTTTCGGGATCCAGGTGATGGCGCAGTGGATAGAGTCTGTCTAGGAGGAGTGCTCGAGCTGAGGTCGAACAGGTTAGCGTGGAGTCGAGGACGTCGTACTAGCAGGAGATGTCGGACAATGATGTACCTTTTGGTCGGCGTGACCCTTCGTAAGACCGTTTGGACTGGGCCTTTACCATTGCTTTTGGGCCAGCCGGGCCCAGTCCAGAACAGGAGCCCCCCAAGTCGTGGTTCCTGTAGTAGGAGTCGTGACTTGATCTTAGGTCGCCTGCGTCAGGGGGTCCCGTTCCCGATCAGAACATGCCGTTCCCGCAGTTTGCTCGAGGAGTTTTCCCCGTGTCGGGCATACGAGATAATGCCGTGCGAGGAGCGCTCGGGGAGTCTTGACGGGCCGCGTTCGTTGGGCATATGAGGTATCTCTTGGGAGTCGTACTGCCACCCTACTGACGATAGGGCCATCATTGCCTAGGGGAGCTATGCGTCGAGGAGGGAAGTTTTGTGGTTCCCCAAGGTGACGTTTGGTATTCCACGTCATCACTATAAATAGGTTGTTTTGGGCCCCAGAACGTGTTTTCCCTGTTCGCGCTACTCCTCTTCACTCTGTTTCTGCTGTTTTGCTGTTCTTCCCAGATACTCATAGGACCGTCGTGATCTCCGTCACTGATTTCCTTTCTCCTTCGTCACATTACCTTCCTGATTTCAAGTAAGTGTCTCGTCTCCTTCGTTCTTCTTCTGTGATGCATGATTTTTATTGTTTTCAGACGTTTTAGAGACTGTAATTCTGGGAATAGCCCGGTAGATTCATATTTAGCTCGACAAACCCATGCCTATGTCCGGCGAACGCGTGTATGCACCCGGTAGGCGCATAGTTTAGGTGTTTTGACTCGCAGTGCTGCCCGGGGTCTTCATGATTCAGGGCGCCTAATTCTTGGTGGTGCCCGGTAAACTCATGGCTTTAGTTTTGAGACCCATGGCGTCGCTCGCCACGTTCGTAGTCTTGGTCGACACATTCGTGAGCGGTCGAGATGTTGGCCCGTTCAGGCGATTTAAAAGGGGACTTGTCATGGTATCCAGAGTCGGGGAGGTGACTGCTCTTCTTGTATCGAAACTCCAACATTGTGGTCGCACGTGGAGCGCTGTGGTTTGTCGTGCCCTTCATTTCGTCCATTATGGCGAGCGTGTGGTTTCGCTCTGAATTGATTGGTTTCCCGTGCTTTGTAGGTAACCATGGCGGATGAACCGTGCTCTTCAGAGCGTACCGAGGTGGAAGAACAAAGTGCTGACGAAAATGTCAATTTGGTTGACACCATAGAGGATCCTCTGCTCGAATGGGTGGGTGCCGAGCCCAGAGGGATAGCTTCGGCCTATAGTCGGCGTAGCCGAAAGGCATACACCATCCTCGAGGCGGGCAATGGCCAGCCCGGTTTCCAGAAGAATTTCGTCGTCACTCGACCAACTTTCACCGCACGAATCTGCTCGGAGTTCCCCGAGTATCGATTCCCTATGTACGAAATTGCCTTCAAGGACCTTGGGTTACAGCTGCCCTTCAACGATTTTCAAGTCGGGGTCTTCAGCCATCTAGGGTTGGCCCCGTCGCAGCTTCACCCAAATTCACTCGCTTTCCTCCCGGCGTTCGAGCTAACTTGTCGGTTTCTAAGGATTGGGGCGACCATACCCCTTTTCTTCAGAGTTTTCCACCTACAGCGCCAATCCTGGGGAGGCAAGCATAGTTGGTTCTCCCTGAAACAGTCGAAGAGACTTTTCAGGATGTACATGGATTCCGTGCGGGGTTTCAAGGACAAGTGGTATATTGTGAGGCCGGTAACCGCAGCGGGTTTGGAGTCTGTGTATGAGGAGGAAGCAGTCATAACCGACGACCACGGGGAAGCCCTTTTGGACGACGAGGGGCATCCGGTGTTAGGGCGCATGGCCAAATTTCCCCTACATTGGACTTCGAGGCACTACGAGCATGGGACCGGGTACTACCATACGTCCGGGGCGAAATGAGCTCCGAAGACGAGAAGGCTTATGGTACTCTCTGTCGGTATGTCGACAATTTCTTCCCCGCCCGATGGGCCACGAGGGAGGGGGAGGATATCCTCGACGAGGAAGGTTATTCGACCTTCGAGGCCCGACCGATTGACACAAAGGCACTTGTGGAGTGCCAGTCCTTCAGGCAGGCTGCGAGTTTGCTAGGTCGTTATTTTTTTTGTCTTGTTTGAATTTCTTTACTTGTTATTTGTTCGCTTGTTTGCTCGCCACTAACCCGGGGTTCTTTCATGCAGGTTTGATGGTCGGACGAAGGGAGAGGCTCTTGAAGTTGTCCTGTGACAGGAAGGTGAATAAGAGGGTGGTGAGACCTCCTCATGTGACAAGGATGGGCCCGCCACATAGCCCGGGCATTTCTCAAGCGACGAGGGTGGACTCGCCACCTAGCTCGGGAGCTGCTTCAGAAGGGATTCCGGATGTTCAGGAGGTCGAGCCACACACCAACCTGATACAGAGGAAGAGGAATCGGGTGGAAAGTCAACTGGAGGTCGGTGAGGACTCCAGCGCTGTGAGGTCCTTCAGGTTGCCCCCTTTCTTTAAAGAGGAGGGTTTCTTCGAGGGATTTCCCTTGTCCGTGAGTCCCGACGAAGCTGAAACCATCAGGCGGATGAACAAGGAAAGACGGAGAAGGCACCTGGCCGCCAATATGGCCGGGCTGGTGAAGATGGTCGAGATGGTCGTTGTACTGGCCGAGGAGGGGGAGGACGCTGACCGTATCAAAGAGTTGGAACAAGAGAAAACTGCCCTCACCTCGACCTCGCGAAAGTTGAAGGCTGCTCTGGAGCGCTCCGAGGAGATGTTCCGCGAGCAAGCCGAGCTGCTGGCAGCGGAGACGGAGTTACTGGCTCTTGAGAAAGAGAGATCGGGGAAGCTGGCCGAGGAGAGGGACCTTTTTCGTGCGGATCGGGAACGATTGGAAATTGACAACGGGCGCCTCGCCAGAGAGATCGAGGACCTAAAGGCCGCTATGCTTCCTGCCGAGGATGAGTCGGAGGATACAGCTCCTCTGAGGAGTCGATCGGAACTGGTCGCTCATATCCAACTTCTCGAGGGGGACTGTGTCGGAGCTATGGTGGACGGCTTCGAAGCCGCGGTCAGCCAGCTTTCCTTGTTGAATCCCAGCCTGAACACTGAAGGGGTTAGCCATATGTCGCAAATTATTGATGGTCAGGTCGTGCCTCCGCCCGACTCTCCTGTTGTTGGTGATGGTAGCTCGGGGGAAGCCGAGTTGGGAGATAATGATGGGGCCTGCGTGCCTCGTTGATGTTTGTTTTGGGCCTGCGTGCCCGTTCATATTTTTTTGGGCCTGCGTGCCCGTTCTTTGAATTCCCTGAATATTGCCGACCTTTTTGGTCGGTTTACATCTATTGGTTTTGTTGCCTACGGGCATTTTGAATGAATGTTTGTTTACACTTTTGATTGTTTGCCCGTGCTTGTGTTTTACGTTTTTGCGCAAAAATTGGCCTAAGTTATGGGCCCGAGGCGTACCCGTACGCGGTTGTGACTTTGCAATACAAATTTGCCTAAGTCTTTTGTTCGTGTATGTGTTCGGCCTCTTCTCGATGGCCAGAGTCGCCTAAGTGGTGCACTCGAGGGGAGAGACTCCTTTTTGACCCTTTTAGATGGCCCAACGTCCTTGGAGATTCGTCGGGCAGGCGGAGCGAAGTCGCTTGGTCGGGTATATGACCCGGTCGGGGATATTTGCCCGCGGCATGAACTGCCCATCGCGAGCTGGGTGTTATGCCCTACGGGTACTTCGACGGTGGAGCTCCGTAGAGGTGTCCACGTCGGACATTATCGTTTGTTCTTGTTTGAACGATGTTATGCGGTTTGGACGTAGGTCGGGCCTGTACCTCGGCCTCTCTACGGGGTCGGACGTTTTTCCTCTTTGACTGGGCGCGGGAGCCGACAGTCGAGGGTCCTCAGTGTTGGTGGTTTTCAACTATAGTACTGCTTTAGTTTGGCAGCGTTCCAGGGTCGTGGTAGTGGCTCCCCGTCTAGTTGCTCGAGGTAGTACGCCCCGGTACCAGTGGTGTCGTGGACGCGATAAGGCCCTTCCCAGTTCGCGGCCAGCTTTCCTTCGCGGGAGTCTTTTTGGTTCCTTCGCAATACTAGGCTGCCGATTTCGAACTCACGCTTAATGACCTTGTCGTTGTGGCACAGAGCCACTCGTTGTTTTAGGGTGGCTTCATGCAGGGCAGCACCAGATCGGATTTCCTCGACTAAGTCGAGCTCGTCCCTTAGTGCCTCGTCGTTCATTTCTTCGTCGAGGGGGCTTTCCGTCCGTCTGGATGGTTCCATGATTTCTACCGGGATGACGGCCTCAGTCCCGTATATTAGTCGGAATGGGGTCTCGCCCGTCGTTGAGTGGGGCGTGGTGTGGTATGCCCACAAGACACTGTGCAGCTCCTCGACCCATCCCCTCTTCGCCTCGCCGAGTCGGCGTTTGAGTCCTCGGAGGATGACTCTGTTTGCAGCTTCGGC